TTTTACTCATATATATATATATATATATATATATATATATATTATAATATATAATATATATAAATATATATATATATATATATATATTATATATATAATATAAATATATATTATAATAAAATATATATATATATATATATATATAATATATAATTAAATTGAATACCACTCAATCTTCACATCCTGTAGCGAAGGTACTAAAGTTTGTGCCGGTTGGCAAAAACACAAAACCACATACAATCTGCCTGTTAGCATACATCATTGTTAATTTATGACATTAGTCTGTTAAACCTTGATCTAACAAGTTCACTTTTATCCTAGAAAAAGTGAAGAGTTATCGCACCGACAGACACACATACTCACAAGAAAGGAGAAATCCCCCATAGGCTTTTTTTTTTTTTTTACACTGTAATTTAAGTTAATTTCCCATTAGTTTGAAATAGTTTGTAATTAGCTGTCTCCAAGGAGTAAATACAAAATGGAGTGAGTTTGGGAGCTGTGTTGTGGTCGGCAACTGGGCAACGCCTCTTGAGGTGAACTCTTCAAGGAGGGTTGAAGGGGTGAAGGATCTTGCTACTGGTGAAGGGCTCGTTCTTTCAGGAATCTGAACCACTCTTCCCTTCCTCAGCTCAGATGTGACTGCCTAATATTTCCCAACCGTTGTGTTACCTTTACCTTGGGATTAACTCGTGAAAACAATAATTCTGAAAGAAATTTAGTGATTTTATTGCCTAACACAATCTAAATATTTTATTATACGAACTACCAAGTTATTACAATTAATACACAAGTAACTCGCACATAAAAAAGAAACTTACGACGACGTTTCGGTCAGATTTGAACCCACATCATTGAACCTTTTGGTTTATATATTACAATAAATGTTCTCCCGTTCAGAAAATCTCACAAAAATTTTTTTTTTTTCAACTTACACGATACTTAATATTTCTGTGTGAAAAGTTCATCTTAGCTTCTGTGGCTACAAGACGGTAAGTTTTCATCATACTTCATCATATCCCTGGATGATATACAATTTTACGTATGATCGACGTCAACAGCTGGTAAATAATAACGCAAGGCGATTCATCATCAGTCTGGTGTATACTTTGTATCAACTGGTAAAGGATATAGGTCTTCCTTGTGGGTCCCTCCACCTTGGTGGGTTTTCTAATGGGTCCCTCCACCTTGGTGGGTCTTCTGGTGGGCCCCTTTACCTTGGTGGGACTTCTGGTGGGTCCCTCCGCCTTGGTAGGTCTCCTGGTGGGTCCCCCCACCTTGGCGGGCCCCACATCCTGGGTATGCCTAACAGAAGACTCCATTTCTGTGGTAGGCCTTCCAGAGGGTCCACTATAACTTCGTTTCTCCTATTGGAGGGGCACCCCCCTCACTCCATAATGGGTTCCTCATTCCCTTGTGGGGCCCCTGACTCTAATGTGGGCCTGCGAAAAGAGCCCCTTTATCATCCTCAACACAGTTTCTAAACTCGACCGCCAGAGCGCTCATTGTTGAACTCTACCCGGCCTCTTCTAGCAAGGAGTATATTTTTTACAGCTTAACATTTCTATATTACTTGAAATAGTCTAATTTCTATCGTACGGGTTCCTATCATACAAAGATGCGCCCTTCTATATTGAGAGAGAGAGAGAGAGAGAGAGAGAGAGAGAGAGTCTCCATCAAGATCTATACCAACACCGCCATTCACAGAGACCACTTCTTCAGCTCCTCAGGTCTTCCACTGAATAATATTGTCTGATCGATGCTGACTGCTGATTACCTGAGCTATGTCTAATCTGGTGTGTCAGCCATTCACTGATTAGGATCATAGCGTGGTTGGGCAAGACTGCCTGGTAAGTATGATAAAAAAAAGGGGGATTCTGCGCAAAGCAGACCTTTATTTACACACACGACTTTTCGCTCCAAGTAGGGTTCCACTTCAGCGAAATGTAGTAGATCTGAATTATGGTGTCAGGCAACATATCCCCCTGGCGTAAGGATGTTACACTCCCAGGGAGGTCGAGCTCACCACCACGGGGGACAACATCCTGCCCTCACTGTTTATCAGTTACTCTTAATAGCGATCCAAGTTATTGGAATTACCCTTTTCCTTCCATCAGATGGAACCTGATTACCTCCCATTTCCCAAGCGCTGTGTAACCCTTACGAAATTAGCGCTTCCCGAGAACGCAACTATCAGAAGAGTCAACTCCCAGTCTGTACACAAATTAGGCCGGGAAGCAAAATAAAAAAAAATGAAAAATGTTATGTACATTCTAAGAGTTTCATCATGAATCTTTAAAAATGGGATATTTCTATGTATTTTCCTTTATGGAGTTGGATTACATTTACAGAAAATATAATTCCTGGTCTGTTAAGACAACTAGGCTTTCAAGTGGTGTGGAACCTGACTTCACTCACACGCTAGACAGCAGTCTCATCACCGGATATTTTCATATATATATATATATATATATATAATATATATATATATATATATATATATATATATATATATATATATATTTCTTCTTTCAACACACCGGCCGTATCCCACCGAGGCGGGGTGGCCCAAAAGGAAAAACGAAAGTTTCTCCTTTTACATTTAGTAATATATACAGGAGAAGAGGTTACTAGCCCCTTGCTATATATATATATAATATATATATATATTATATATATATATATATATATATATATTTTTTACACTGAAAAGTTTCTATTTAATGGGAAACTAATTTCTTAAATATTTGAAAAATAATATAATTTAAATCTGGCTTTAAATTTCTGTTGTTGAGGCTAGGTTATCAAATATACATTTCCAAATGAGTTTTTTTTTTTTTAAAAACATACATCATCAGTTTTGAAAGCATACATCATTACAGCAGTTCTTCAAATGATACATCATTATGTCTTTAGCTGATACATCATCAGTTTCTTTAAGTGATTCATCGTTAGTTCTCTAACTAACTGATACATCATCAGTTTCTGATGAAACCGACAACAAAATAATTATTAAACAATCATTTGACAAATTACATTTCATAGACATAATATTTAGACTACGTCAGATCAACCACTTATGAATATTAATGATGGAACTGCAATAATGATCATGACAATATAAATATAATAACCTTAAGTGGAAAATAAGGTGGAATTTAGTGTGGAAGCGAACAACCACGTAGTCAAGAATGTAGCTGACAGCCATAGTTGTCGTCATCGTCTGAGATTCATGTTATTGTCCTGTCACCTCTTACGAGAGAGTTTTTCTGTTCTCTCCGAGTGGTATGGAGAGACAAAATGCAAAACAGAGCGTTTACTGGGTCAATGTTTCGCTAATGACCTGACAAATCTGTCGTCTCCATTCCCGCCTCTGGCTGCAGTTGGTGATGGACAGTACACAAAAAAAAAATTTTGAGCTCCTCTCAGTAAATTTATTAAAAACCTTACAAACTAGCCTTAATTTTCTCAAAAAATCCCTTAGGCTTTCTTATCCCCTTGGCTCAAACATGATTATGTGCCGTTCCCCAGGCATTGTATGACCCCTACAGGCTTAGTGCTTATCCATGATTAGCAGTGTATTCCTTGACTGAATGTAGGCTGGATCTGTAATTAATGTTAGTCTTAGGCAAGTCACGTCTAGGACAGATTGCGCCAGGCTATGGTAGGTCGCAGGTCGTGTGTGTTCCTAGGGCAGGTCATGCGGTCCTAGGGAGGTCACGAGTGGCCCTATGGCAGGTCATGCAGTCCTAAGGAAAGTCACGATTGGCCCTATGGCAGGTCATGCAGTCCATGGTAGATAGGGCGAACAAGCGCATGGCTGCTGGAAGTGGAGGATACAGTATCCATCCAGCATACAACGCTGTATGACCATTACAGGTTTAGCGCTTATTTTGAAATATAGCCTTTCTCTGCAGATTAACAGTACTAGTGTATGATAACACAGGCCAGTGGTCCGTGGACTCTCTCCAACACCCTTGCCTGTCATAGTGCCACGTCTCTCAGCTCGATGATTAAAACAGACGTGCAGTACCTGCGCATGTTTATTCTGAAGACGTTTCGCCAACCAGTGGCTTTATCAGTTCAACACAGAGGTTATCTGAAGGTGACGAAGCTGGAAACATTAGAAGACGTCGTAATCAGTCGGTCAGCCTGAGTGTTCACCACCTTGGTCCTGATGGAACTGAAGCATAGGCAAGAAGATGGACGTTTATGTAGGGACCAGATGGGGTGCAATAGTTGAAGTCGTCATCACCATCACCAGTGGACGGGGCCCACTAGAAGTACGTCGTGACCAAGAGTTAGGCCAGAGGTTAGAAAACAGGTTAAAGAAGATATCATCTGTGCCTAGAGCCCATGGCGTTGCTTTGTCAGAAAAGTATCATAGCATTAATTGCAAACAATACAGGCAAGTTGATGAGGTTATCTTCCTCAACATGCACGCTTACCTATGGTCCACCTCTTAGGCATGATTTTCAACTGTTGCACCTCATCTGACTCCTGTATAAGCGTCCATCTTCCTGTCCTTGTTTCAAAGTCATCAAGACTAAGGTGGTGAACACCTAGACTCAGGGACTTATCGTCTCGTCTTCTACTGTCTCCGGCTTCAGCATCATTAATAAACCTCAGTATTGAATTTATAAAGTCACTGGTTGAAGGAACGTCTTCAGAACAACTTGCTAGTTTTGTGTACTACTAATTGTATGTTCCTCTGGCAAAAGTCTCTCTTGAGCCACACGTTTTCCTGATCACACGTTCCTCTGGCCAAAAATCCCTCTGGCCACACGTCTTTGGCCACACGTCTCTGGCCACATGTCTCTGGCCACACGTCTCTGGCCACACGTCTCTGGCCACACGTATGCTTCTGTCTTGGAGCGTGGCAGAAAAACACACCGTTGCCTGGGTGGCCATCCACAACAAGGAGAGGTAAAGATGCATTAAGAAATTTGATCAGTAGACAATGCAGAGGAGAGTACAGGGACGGGGTAAGGATAAGCCAAGCATGTTTAGGTTGGCATCAGCGTCACTATTTCTCACATAGTTCACTGTACAGTAGCTCCGTTTTTCTCACTATATTATATCAAGATAATTAGGCAGAAGCCTAGAGTACAAGGCCAGTTTTTGTCCTTCGTAAAGAGTGGCGTAAGCCTGGCGCACTTACTCCCAGGGAAGGATGGTTACCACCGCGCCAGTTAACATAATAGCTGTCAAACAACCAACAGACTTGGTTGGCTTAGCATTAAGAAGTTCACGGTTCATCACAAATTAATGTACTATGTTGTTGCCACTAGCGCACAAGGGTTGCACCGCAATCAAAACAAAACAACGGTAAGTTGGCATTTTAACGTCAAGAGGCGGCCAGCCCCGTGTGTGTGGTAAACTCACTAGGCCACAGCTTTGAGAACCATTTTATTTTATTTTTTTTCAACAGAAGCGGGATCTCAGTAGAGCAACACTAGCTTGAAAAAAAAAATGCACGTTTGGAATAGCTCCAGATGTGTCGGTGGCGTATCGTTGGGGGTACCGAGTGTGACAGGGCCGCCAAATGTGGCAGCCAGCGCACTACTTCAAGCGCCTCCCCTGTGCAGGAGTACCTCTAATCTCTTGGGCGACCCCTTGGTAGAGGCGATATAGGGCATCCTGTGTGGCTCTCTAGCGTCCCTGGGGCGTGGGCGTGGTGGCGGCGGTGATCCCATGGGCGGGAGTCTAGAGGCCACTATGTCACAAAGTGTGGTAGTCGTGGAGGATATCGTGGTGTGTGGGCGGCGCCAGGTGTGGGGCGGCGGTGTGGTCGCTGGAGATGGTGGTCCCTGTGTGTCTAGCCGCTACTGCCGCCGCCGCCGCCAGACTCAGCTGCGTTTGGTAGGCGGCGGCAATGGCAGAGGCGGAGCTCACGGAGGCAGGGACGGGCGCCACCGAGGACATGCCGTTTGCACCTCCGCCAACCTTGCTGAGTTCGCTGTATAAGTCCGTGTGCCCGACAGGCTCCTGCAAAGACAATACGATTTTTAAATGAATAAAACACAATACAGTGGCTGGAATAACCTAAAGCCAACCCACAGCTTACACGACAACGACACAACGTTAAGATCAGTTCTGATCCATTGTTGATAATGATTCAGGAAGGACCGAAATAAACTGTGTGTGTAATTATATATACATATATATATATATATATATATATATATATATATATATATATAATTATATATATATATATATATATTATATATATATATATATATATATTATATATATAATATATTATATTATATATATATTATTGTCGTGCAGAATAGGTTAAAACTGGTCAGTTAGCAAGAACTCACTTAAAATTAAGAGCTTCCTAAAATTTTCTCTTATACATTTGAAGCTAGATTTCTTTTATTTATGTTAATATAAAATTAATAATTTTGTACCTTATTATAACAAGCACAATTTAATTTAGCCTTATCCAACTATACATATTTTAAATAAATTTACAATAATTTAATAATAAACAAGCACAACGAAATATATATTTTTTCGTTAGGTTTAGAATGTTTTTTGGAAAATTATTGCATACACAAATTTTCGCTTGCCTTATTTGACAAGAAGAGCGTTGCCTGTTCTGCGAATTCTAAACACACACACACACACACACACACACACACACACACAAAGGTTTTCCACATTGCACACACACAACACACACACACACACACACACACACACACACACACACACACACACACACACACAAAGGTTGCAAAGGTTTGCAACAAGAATAGTCCCAGAGCTAAGAGGTATGTCCTACGAGGAGATGTTAAGGGAAATTAACCTGACGACACTGGAGGACAGGAGAGATAGGGGGAACATGATAACGACATACAAAATACTGAGAGGAATTGACAAGGTGGACAAAGACAGGATGTTCCAGAGATAGGACACAGTAACAAGGGGACACAGTTGGAAGTTGAAGACACAGATGAATCACAGGGATGTTAGGAAGTATTTCTTCAGCCACAGAGTAGTCAGCAAGTGGAATAGTTTGGGAAGCGATGTAGGGGAGGCAGGATCCATACATAGCTTTAAGCAGAGGTATGATAAAGCTCACGGTTCAGGGAGAGTGACCTAGTAGCGATCAGTGAAGAGGAGGGGCCAGGAGCTCGGACTCGACCCCTGCAACCTCAACTAGGTGAGTACAACTAGGTGAGTCCACCACCAACACACACACACACACACACACACACACACACACACACACACACACACACACACACACAACACCACACACAAACAAACAAAACCGTAGACACAGTATAGTCTAGGTGGCCAAAGACTGCAAACCTCACTCAAGGAAAAAAAAGTTCTTGGGGTGAGTATAATACCGACCACATCTGAGGCGCACATCAATCAGATAACTCCTGCAGCATACGGGCGTCTGGCAAACCTAAGGATAGCGTTCCGATACCTCAGTAACGAATCGTTCAAGACTCTGTACACCATATACGTCAGGCCCATACTGGAGTATGCAGCACCAGTTTGGAATCCACACCTGGTCAAGCACGTCAAGAAATTAGAGACAGTGCAAAGATTTGCAACAAGACTAGTCCCAGAGCTAAGGGGATTGTCCTACGAAGAAGAAAGGTTAAGCGAAATCGGCCTGACGACACTGGAGGACTGGAGGGTCAGGGGAGACATGATAACAACATATAAAATATTGCGCAGAATAAACAAGGTGGACAAAGACATGATGTTCCAGAGAGGGGACACAGAAACAAGGGGTCACAATTGGAAGTTGAAGACTCAGATGAGTCAAAGGGATGTTAGGAAGTATTTCTTCAATCATAGAGTTGTCAGGCATTGGAATAGCCTAGAAAGTGACGTAATGAAGGCGGGAACCATACGTAGTTTTAAGACGAGGTTTGATGAAGCTCATGGAGCAGGGAGAGAGAGGACCCAGTAGCAATCAGTGAAGAGGCGGAGCCAGGAGCTAACTGACCTCAAGACCCCAACAACACACACACACACACACCACACACACACACACAACACACACACACACAAAACACAATAACATCACATATATATATATATATATATATATATATATATATAGATATATAATTCATATATAATATATATATATATATATATATATATATATTATTATAGAGAGAGAGAGAGAGAGAGAGAGAGAGATCGCAGTCCGAGGACTCGATACTGATAATGAGACGGAGAAGATTCCCAGGCAGCGTTCTTATCCACCGGCCACAAATGCCACATAGACTGGGCATGCACACATGTTCACATCAGCACCAATTCACTTTTCAATCTCCCAGCACCCCAAGCGATTTATATAATGCATCAGTCAGAAATATTATCAGATCCATCAAGCATTGATTTAGATATATATCAATTTCATTAATAATATAGTAATTATTATAGGATTTTAATGAATCAGTGATGCATCACGCAGAGAACCAGGCGGGTCTATCACACGAGCACAAATCACAGTCAGCACGCACTGATGACACACATTCAGCAGCACAGTCACCATAGATGATCAGCTACAATCTATTGATGTTATTAAGCATATCATGAATGCATCAGCAGAGAACAACCATGGTATATACAAAAGCAGGCACAGCACACTGACTGACACACAACAGCAGGACACAGCACAACTGACTGAACAGCAGCAGATCGCAGTACACAGACTGACCACATGCACTGACACACGACACAAGCAGGACACAGCACCACTGACTGACACACAGCAGCAGGACACAGCACCACTGACTGACACACAACAGCAGGACACAGCACCACTGACTGACACACAGCAGCAGGACACAGCACCACTGACTGACACAGCAGCAAGACAGACACTGACTGCACAAGCAGAAGACCACTGACTGACACACAGCAGCAAGACACAGCACCACTGATTGACACACAGCAGCAAGACACAGCACCACTGACTGACACACAGCACAGCAGACACAGCACCACTGACTGACACACAGCAGCAGGACACAGCACCACTGACTGACACACAGCAGCAAGACACAGCACCACTGACTGGCACACAGCAGCAAGACACAGCACCACTGACTGACACACAGCAGCAAGACACAGCACCACTGACGGACACACAGCAGCAAGACACAGCACCACTGACTGACACACAGCAGCAAGACACAGCACCACTGACGGACACACAGCAGCAGCAAGACACAGCACCACTGACGGACACACAGCAGCAAGACACAGCACCACTGACGGACACACAGCAGCAAGACACAGCACCACTGACGGACACACAGCAGCAGCAAGACACAGCACCACTGACGGACACACAGCAGCAAGACACAGCACCACTGACTGACACACAGCAGCAAGACACAGCACCACTGACGGACACACAGGCACAAGACACAGCACCACTGACGGACACACAGCAGCAAGACACAGCACCACTGACGGACACACAGCAGCAAGACACAGCACCACTGACGGACACACAGCAGCAAGACACAGCACCACTGACGGACACACAGCAACAAGACACAGCACCACTGACGGACACACAGCAGCAAGACACAGCACCACTGACGGACACACAGCAAGCAAGACGACAAGCACCACTGACGGACACACAGCAGACAAGACACAGCACCACTGACGGACACACAGCAGCAAGACACAGCACCACTGACGGCACAAAAGACACGATGGGCCAGACAAGACACAGCACCACTGACGGACACACAGCAGCAAGACACAGCACCACTGACGGACACACAGCAAGCAAGACACAGCAACCACTGACTGACACACAGCAAGCAAGACACAGCACCATGACGGACACACAGCAGAAAGACACAGCACCACTGACGGACACACAGCAAGCAAGACACAGCACCACTGACGGACACACAGCAACAAGACACAGCACCACTGACGGACACACAGCAGCAAGACACAGCACCACTGACTGACACACAGCAACAAGACACAGCACCACTGACGGACACACAGCACAAGACACAGCACCACTGACGGACACACAGCAACAAGACACACACCACTGACGGACACACAGCAACAAGACACAGCACCACTGACGGACACACAGCAACAAGACACAACACCACTGACGGACACACAGCAACAAGACACACACCACTGACGGACACACAGCAACAAGACACAACACCACTGACGGACACACAGCAACAAGACACAGCACCACTGACGGACACACAGCAGCAAGACACAGCACCACTGACGGACACACAGCAACAAGACACACACCACTGACGGACACACAGCAACAAGACACAGACACCACTGACGGACACACAGCAACAAGACACAACACCACTGACGGACACACAGCAACAAGACACAGCACCACTGACGGACACACAGCAACAAGACACAGCACCACTGACGGACACACAGCAACAAGACACAGCACCACTGACGGACACACAGCAACAAGACACAGCACCACTGACGGACACACAGCACAAGACACAGCACCACTGACGGACACACAGTTATCCTGGGACACACCTGCTCCCTCACTTACCATAGTGCTACTGTAATATTTAATGACCTCTTGTGATTATATCTCAAGTATTGTCGGTATTCACTAATTATTAGTCTCGTAATGATATTAAAATGATATAAGCCTTAGTATAATCATTTGGAAAATTGTATTGGACTAAATCATCTCGGCTTTATTAATTATGTAAAGTTTTATTGATGATAATACTAAGAATAATTTCCCAAGTTTTCTTATTAAATTTTTGGCGTTAAAATAACCTGAATTTCTTTATTGTTTGTAATTTACTAATTTTGATTCCTGTTATTGTGTACAGCTGTAATATAATTTTGATTCCTGTTATTGTGTACAGCTGTAATATAATTTTGATTCCTGTTATTGTGTACAGCTGTAATATAATTTTGATTCCTGTTATTGTGTACAGCTGTAA